CTTTTTTAATAGTAACTAGGTTGAATCTATAAATTTATTTAGGAAGAACAGACAGCCTAATGATACTGAGTTTTTCCATCCTTAAGTATAACATATTTGTCCATTTATCTGTCTTAGCTGTTTTATGGTTGTTAATGCAGAGGTTTTGCACATTTTAAAATTTTGTTTCTAGGTTTCTGATGATTTTGGATGTCATAAAGAGTTGTTTACAATTTCACTTCCCTATTTTTTGTTGCTAGTATATAGAATTGATTTTGCTAATATCGAGCCTGTGTCCTACAACTTGCTAAGTCAACTTACTTGTTTTAGTAGCTTTTTTATATATTCCATTGACTTTTAGATGTACACAATCATTCTGTATATAGTTTTACTTCTTCCAAATTTTTTGAGATAGTTTCCATAAAATTTACTTTTTAAAAAATATTTATTTTTTGGTTAGACACAATACTTTTATTTTGTTTATTTATTTTTATGTGGTGTTGATGATTGAACTCAGGGCCTCGCGCATGCTAGGTCATTGCTCCACTGCTGAGCCACAACCCCAGCCCAAAATTTACTCTTAAAAGTATATAATTCAGTGACTTTTAGTATATTCACAATATTGTGCAATCATCACTATATAATTCCAGAATATTTCTATCACTCTAAATATAAACCCACTTATTAGCAGTCACTCCTATTTCCCCAGTCCCCAGCCCCTGAAAATCACCAGTCAACTTTCTTTGCCTTTGGATTTACTTATATTGGGTATTTCAAACAAATGCAATCATATGACTTTTACTTAGCACATAATGTTGTAGCATGGAGCAGTACTTCATTCCTTTTAATGGCTGAATACTATTCCATGATATGGATATGCCACATTTTATTTATTCATTGGTTAGTTGATAGGCCTTTGTGCTGTTTCTACTGATTATCACAAATAATGCTATGAACATATATATAAATTTTTGAGTGAACATGTTTTTAAGTTCACAAGGATATATATCAAGGAATGAATTTTTGGGTCATATGGCAATGCTGTTTAATCTCTTAAAGAACTGCAAAACTATTCTCATAGATGTTGCATCATTCTACATTCCTACCACCAGGATATGAGGATTCCAATTTCTTCACATCCTTACTAATACTTGTTATTGTCTCTTTGATTATAGACAACATAGTAAAGTGATACCAATCCCCCCTCCCCCCAAGCACCTTCTGCATGCTAGGCAAGCACTCTATCACAAAGTCACATTCTCAAAATAATTTTGAGATGGGGGTCTAGTTAGGCTGCCAAGGCTGTCCTTGAACTTGTGATCCTCCTGTCATAGCCTACTGATTTGCTGGGATCATAGACATACACCAATGTGCCTGACCTTGTGATTCAAAACCTAAGGACTTAGTGATGTTGAGTATATCTTCATGTGTCATTTATATATCTACTTTGTGGCGATATATATGGGATCAATGGTGTGCACCTAGTGTTCTTCGAAGTACAGAATTTTTTTGGACCAGGAGTTGAATCCAGGGGCGCTTAATCACTGAGCCACATCCCCCTTTTTTGAGACAGGGTCTCGCTAAGTTTCTTAGGGCCTCACCAAGTTCCTGAGGCTGTCTGAACTTGTGATCCTCCTGCCTCAGTCTCCCTCCTGAGTCACTGGACTTATAGGCATGTGCTACTGTGCCCAGCTGAAACACAAAATTTTTTAATTTTGATCAAGTGCAACTTATTTTTTCTCTTTGGTGGTTTTTGCTTTTAGGATCACATCTAAGAAACTCTCGAGTAATTCAAGTCATGAAAATTTATGGTTATGTTTTTTTCCTATGAGTTTTATAGTTTTGGCTTTTGTTTGAATCTTTGATTCTTAAAAATATTTGTAAATGGTGTGAAGCAGGGTTCCAACTTCTTTCTTTTCCTTTTGGATATCCAGTTTCCCCAGCACCATTTGTTGAAGACTATACTTTCCCCTGTTGAACTGGCTCAGAACTTTTTGTTCAAAGTCACTGACCATACACAGAAAATTTAATTCCTGTATTCTCAATTATATTTCATTGACTTATGCTTCTGTCTTTATGCCAGTATAGTACCATCAGTCATGATAGCTTTGTAGCAAATTTTGAAATCAGAAAGTGTTAAATCTTTCCAAACTTTTTATTTTACTGCATAGATGAGGGCCCTCCAATATCCTTGGAAGTGGTGAGAGCAGGTTTTTTTTTTTTTTTTTTTTTTTTAAAGACATGCTCTTGCAATGTTGCCCAGGCTTGTCTCCAACCCATGGGCTCAAGTGATCCTCCTACCTCAGCCTTGTGTTGAGACTAAGGGTATATACCCCATACCTGGCTCAGAAGTATTTAATGTTGTTCCTGATCTCAGGAGAAAGGATTTGCTATTTCACCATTAAGTTTTTCAAAGATTTTCATTATCTGATACAGAAAGTTTCCTTCCGTTCCTGGCTTGCAAAGATTTTTTAATGTTAATGGATTTTGAATTTTGTCAAATGCTTTTTCTGCATTTGAGACCATCATTTTGTTTACTCTCTGATTAATGTGGTAAATCAAGTTGATTTTTTCAATGTTAAAGTTCACTCTCCTTGGTCAGAGTTCCTTTGATGTTGTAAGGTTCAGTTTGTGAATATTTTAAGAATTTAAAAATCTATGTTCATGAGGGTCATTGGTCTGTAATTCTCTTGTAAAATGTTGTCAAATCTTGGTATTAGGATTATACTGGTCTCATGTGAGTTGAGGGGTTTCTTACTGTTCTGCTTTCTGAAACAGTATAGGATTGGTACTCTGTATTACTTAAATGTCTGGGGGGAAAATGGCTGAGGCTGATTGTGTTGGTGCATGCCTATAATCTCAGTGAACAGGAAAGCTGAGATAAGAGGGTGGGAAGTTTAAGGCCAGCCTCAGCAATTTAGGGATGACCTAAGCAACTTAGTGAGGCCCTGTCTCAAAAAATAAAAACGGCTAGGAATGTAGCTCATTGTGTAAGTGTCCCTGGGTCAATCCCTACTACCAAAAAAAAAAAAAAAAAGTGAAGACTCAGATTCCCACATTACCTACCTGCAGTAAGTTGACTCTCCTTTCTTTCTCTGGCACATCTTTTTTGTAAAAATGATAAATTATTATTTAATAAACTCTTCAAACAAGGTAGAAAAGTCCAAAGATAAAAACTTGCATTTTTGACTGACATCCTTTCAGACTGCTGCCTCAGGTACCACTAGGGATTTAACAACCAATGAGTGCCCTACCACTAGCTACATCCCCAGCTTTTTTATTGTGAGATACAGATTTGCCCAGGTTGGCCTTAGACAACTTGTGATCCTCCTAATTGTCCAAGTTGCTGGGATTACAGTATGCATGCATCATAATTTTCTTAATTAGTGTCCTAATGATGTTATTTATATTGCCCTTAGAGACATTTATTATTAAAAAAAGGTAGCAAAAATATCTCTGTTAATCTCTTCTTTTTCTTGGTGTAACTGCCTTATGAAATAAGACTTCTGGGGCAAAGGCTAATGCATGTCAGTTTCGGTAAATAAGGTTGTAGCAATTTCATCTGTACATCAATAGTGTAGGATGGGAACTGTATTCCTACATATCAATACTGATAGGCCAAAAAAAAAAAAAATCTGTTTAGGGGCTGGGCATGTAGCTCATTGGCAGACCACTTGCATAGCCTGCATAAGGCCCTGAGTTTGATCTTCAGGATGGAGGAAAAAAATGTTTGGAAGTTGGACATCTTTGATGACTAGATTTTTTTTTTTTTGGCTTAAGAATGTCCTATTGCTATCTCTTGCCAATTTTTAAATTAGGGTTTTAAGTCTTTTTTTTTTTTTTCTTTTTCCTGGTACTCAGGATTAAACTCAGGGGTGTTCTATAACAGAGCTACACTGCCAGCAGGACACCCCTACCACCTTTTTAAATTTTGAGACAGAGTCTCCCTAAGTTGCAAAGCTGGCCTCTGTGTTCCTCTAGCCTCAGCCTCCTGATTCACTGAGATTGGGAGTGTGAAACACTGTACCTGGCTTTAAGTTTTAATTGATTTTCTACGAGCTCTTTCTGTTTTTCTTCTTTTTGGAAATGACAATTTATTTTCCCTTGGTTCACTGTTTTCAAATTTATAGATTACAATCTTCATGTATTTGAATTTATTTTTCAATTTTATAATTCCTAGTTTTTATTTCATACTTGGAGAAGGCCTAACCTCAAGATTACAAAAACATTCACCTTGATTTACTTGTTTTTACAGTACTCTTTAAATCTTTGATTCATTAAGTATTTATTCTCGTGTAAGAAATTAGATACATGTAAAGGTTCTCTTCAATGCCTACTGTTTCTTGATTTCTTTTCTCACTGGCCCATGATTTGTAATGTATAGTTTACTGGTTACTACTAAGAGTTATGGAGTTGTCTGATTCCAACATTTATAACTAATGGTTTTGATAATTGTATTTATCTTAAGAGTTGGGACTAAGAAATAACATAATCTGAAAAAGCACTCCAGCTCTTGATACATAAGTGCTCAGCACAATACATATACACCAATTTACTTCTGAATCCTCCTGTTCATGGATGTGTCTTCCGTATCTCATTTATATAATCCATCCATTTAACACTGTCATTTCTCATGGCCACTTTTTCTCGTTTCAACAAAAATATCACTTTTCAGTTGCCTTTCTAATCACAACTAGAACCTGAATATATTAATCTTGCAGGTAACAATTAGCTGTGCTTCACAAAGTAGTGAGAACCAAAATCCAAACTCTAAGGTACTGAACACGTGGGAAAGAAAGGGTGCTTATTTCTTTCCCTATCTGTTTTGAAAGGATGGAAGAAGCCTGTCTTATTTCAGCCCTTGGGTTACAAACAGTATTCTCAAACGCTGGTACCCTTTCAACTTCCAAGCCTACTTTACAGCCTGAAGGTAAGTAGATCATCCTAGGGCAACTACTCTGAGATTCGAGGCAGGAGGTGAGGGGTCGGGGAGGATTCCCTCCTGGGTCTTTGGTCCTGACCTGAGAGTTCCCTCGAGGCCCGCTGGGCCCACTCCCAGCTCGAGGGTGATGCCCCACGGCAGACGTCGTGGGCAGACGACTTCTTGAGCTCGCAAACGTGCACGCAGGCAGGACAGCAGGCGGGCTTGGCGGGCAGAGTAGCGGCAGGACTCCCATCCCTGCCCTCAGGAAGCCCAGAAAAAGCGGGCAGAGTAACGAAAGGCGCGCGCGGAGGAACCACCCCAAAGACGCCGCAACGGGCGGACGCCAGGGGGCCCGGCTTCCCGCTCCAACGACGCGCGTCACTCTGGCTCCTTGAAACAAGCGCCCCGGCGCTTGGCTTGCCCTTCCCTTGGGCTCCGGAGAATTTCTGTGGCCACCCCAGCCCCACTATGACCGCCGTTCCCGCCGCAGACACCTCGGCTCCCGGGGCGGTTGGTCCGCCTCCTCCCTCTAACCGCTCCGGCCGTGGCTGGCGCGCGCGGCGTCGGTGACGTCCACGTAGGGGCGGGACTTCCGGCTTAGCCCGCCGCGGGGTCTCGGGACCGGGTCGGCCCCTTGGTGCTGGGGGAACGTCGGGCGTCGGGCCGAGGCGGCGAGTTGGCCGCACCTTGGCGCTGGGTCTGGCCCGGCACCTTGAGGGACCCTGTCCGCCGAGGAGGAGCGGGGGCTCTTCGCGGGCCGCCCTCTCCGGTCTCGTGGCTCTACCGGGAGACCTCATATTTCCCCAGGGTCCCAAGCTTGAGACTCCTCGGTCCTCCTGTACCTTTTTTGCTGCCTGCGGCGTGAGCGGCCGCTGAGACTCGCCAGACGTGGCGGGCGGGGCGGACACCCCTGCTGTAGGACTCTGTCCCTCAGCCTCAATGCCTCCGCGAACAAAGTTGAGTGGGTGTGGGTGGTTGGAGCTGTGGAGGTGTCCTCCGGGGGCGAGTGCGGCCAGAACACCCGTCACGGTTAAGTTTCCTGCGCGCACGTTGCAAGGACCGTGTGAGAGTATGGTACGTAAAGTCTCTTTCTAGGGACCGTGTCTCATTCATATTTTGGAATACTCTCCCCGCCCCCCGCCAGATTGCCCTTCATCTCCCTCCCTTTGTGTTACTTGGTTATAAAGTAATTGGACCGCGTGTTAGAAAAGCGAGACGTGTTCTGTAGCCAATTAAGTGCACACACAATTATGGAGCTCTTTGATGCACTCCGTCATGGTCTGGCATCTTCAGTATAATTTGTGATGAAAAAGCTATGGTACCATTTTTCTTGGCTTTGAAGACAAGGATGTCTGCGAATGCTATTGGGGTAATGTCCAACATGTTAGTGTATTTTGGGCTCCAATGGATACTTTGATAAATCTTTAGTGTCCAAGTTTTGGCAGAATAAATGGACACTTTGCTCTTAAAAACATCCATTGATAAATACTTTAAAAGCTTTTGGTCATATTACTTGTAAGGATTAAGCTGTTTCAAATAATTTCAAAGAAGTCTAGGATAAGGAGAAACTTGTTTTGAATTTTTCATATATGATACATTCATAATTTGTTCAGACTGTGAGTGAGTACACAGTACTTTAGGTCTAAAACTGAGTTGCTTCTGTTACCAAGCAACAAAATTGTAAACAAATCTAATATTCAACTAGGACATATTAAATGTTTCTTTCCTGCAATTATGTGGGTTCATAATTATTTAAATTCATGGGTTTAGCCTACGTAGTTATGGTTAATAACTGACTTTTTGTATTCAGGTTTGATTTCAAACATTTTGTTTAGAATCATTGAAATGTTTTAAATTTCAGTGTTGCACAGGAGTCTTCTGAAAGTTGAAAGTGATTTTTATTTGCTTTTTGTTTATCATAGATTATTATGATGGATAGTCCTGTTATTTTGAGTATTTTCTAGTTGAGGTATGCTGACTATATTTAGGACTATTTTCAAATAACAGCATGGTAGCAATTTAGAGTAACCTACAGCATTTGGGTGATTTAAATATTGATTATTTACAAGTACTTTTTAAGTCTTGATCTAGCATGTAACCTCACTCTCCACTCATTGAACCCCTAATTATATAATTTATATGACAAACTAAGTTCTCAGCAGGTTTTTTTTTTTTTTTTTTTGGTACCAGGGATTGAACCCAGGGGTACTTAACCATTGAGCCACGTCCCCAGCCCTTTTTTATATTTTATTTAGAGACAGGGTCTTGGTAAATTGCTTAGAGCCTCATTGATTTCCTGTGGCAGCTTTGAATTCAGATCCTTCTGCCTCAGCCTCTTGACCTTCTGGGAGGATGCCTGCCTAACCAAGTTTTCAGAACTTTTAAAATGATCCTTTCAATGCAGTAGCCTTTCAAGTAAATATGTGAGGAGATTTGAGATTGGGACAAATGACCTCTTTGAAACTGAATTGTTACTAATGGGGAGTAGGAACTTCCAAGTGTACTTAATACCCTTGGTATTGCTAAAATCTATAGACTTCATTTTAGTGTCCTCCCTACCTCCCTTATGCTGATGTTGAAATAATATTCAGAAGTTAGGCAAGACAAAGAAGAAAAAAATCAAGAATAATTCATGTTGTGTAATAAAGTTATTAGTAATTAGAAATCAGAATTATGGAACTATGTCATTAGAAAGGTCTAATTCAAGAAGCTTAGAAGAATTAATTCTTCTTTTTTATACTGGACATTGAACCCCGGGCGCTTAACTGCTGAGCCATGTCCCCGGCCCTTTAAATTTTTTGTTTTGAGATGGGATCTTACTAAATTGTTTAGGGCCTTGCTAAGTTTTTGAGGCTGGTCTTGAACTTGTGATCTTCCTGAGCCACTGGGATTATAGATGTATGCCACCGGGTTGGGCCAGAAAAATGATTGTTAACAGATTAGTGAATTGTCAAAAATTTGCCCCTCAGACACTGTCTCTTTGCATAAAGTAAATTAATTTGGTTTTAATGTTGTTATATGTAATGTATTAGGCTTAGTAAGTCATTTTCTTACCTTGTTTAACCTGTGTGTACTTCTAGAGAATGTGTATATATGTATCCATGTAAAAAGGTTTTACTAATTGAAATTCTTACTTGAATTCTTAATTTTCTCACCTGTCATTCCAAGCTTATATTCTTGATTTCTTTCTTTCTTTCTTAAAATCTTAATTTCTATACGGTTCAATTCCATTATGACCTCTAAAATCTTATATTTTTTGGGTGGGGAGGGTTTACCACTGAGCAACATCCCTAGACTGTTTTTATATTTTAAGACAGGACCTTGCTAAGTTATTAAGGATGTCCTCAAACTTGTAATCCTTCTGCCTCAGCATCCTGAGTTTTTGAGTATGCTACCTGCCTGGCTGTAATACACATTTGTGAGTCATGCTTATTTGATACTTTGTTACATTACTTTGTCTTGCCTTCCTAACTAGATTCTGAGCTATTTAAGGGCAAAACACCAAATTTCAGTAAGCTATATCCTTAGTTTCTTCCAAATAGAGACTGCTAAATAAATGTTTCCCAAAGATGATGAATATGTATTTCTATGCTTACCTCATTCTATAGCATAGGGGAAATGAGAACATTGTTTAGAGAGGGTAGTAACTAACTTATGAAAAACAACAGTAAGCTATAAGAAAGGGGATTAAAAAGTGGGGGTTTATTGAAATCAAAGGGAAAGGCTCTGTTCCTAGAAAGTGTGCATATTTGAGAATTTCCCATGATAGTACCAGCAGGAGGGATTCCCTCAGGCATACTGGCACTTCTCCCATGTGGGTTATCGAATTTGATCAGTTTCCTTATTCTTCTTTAATTTGGTTTTTCCTTCAGCTTTCCTCTCATACCCGCCTTCCATCCTCTTTCCCCATTTCCCTATTTTATTCCTTTCCATCCTACTTTTTTTTTTTTTTTTTGAAGGGGGGATACTTGGGATTGAACCCAGTGGTGCTTAACAAATGAGCCACATCCCCAGACCCCTTCCCTGCTTTTTAAATTTTTTTTTTTTTTTAAGAGACAAGGTCTCACTAAGTTGCTGAGGCTGAATTTGAACTCAGAATCCTCCTGCCTCATCCTCCTGAGCTGCTGTCCATCCTACTTTTTGACCTGGTCTCATCTGGCCCTCATAAATTAGCAGTTCTCTGAAATATATCTATATCTATCTCCATCTATCCATCCTCCATCAGTACTGCCCTCTGGTTCATGAAAAAAATAACTGTCAAGTCCAGTAATATTTCTTGTAAGTTTGAGCTGTAATTCAGTATGAAAGAAATTAAAGTCCAGAATGTCCAGTTATTTGCTTTCTGTATATTGTGACTTCAAAGTGCTTTTGGATTAAATTCAAGGTTAGGAGGAACCTAAACCTTCTTTTTTTCATTTTGGAAAGAACTTGTCATCCTTAAAGTAGGTCTTTGAAATTTCCAGGTAATTTGTATAATCTTGCCATAAATCTGTATCTGATGCTTATAACAAAGAGTTACTTCGGTTGCAAATATAAAAAATTGAAATTGAGTCTTAATATTTTAAAATCTTGGTTTGATTCAGTTTTTTTTTTTTTTTTTTGAGTTTGCCAGTCTAGTTTCTGAGTTGTTGCCCAGTAACACAATTGCAGTATACATAGCAACCATTGGAAACAGTGGCTCTGGGACTTTGGGGCTTTTCCTTATGTTGTTGCAGTGCTTATCTCTAGTGTTCTTATTTAATCTTGTTACCTGAATCACATTTTGGTTTAAGCAGGTATTTTAGAGATTTTTAAAAAGCATAAAATATATGTTCTTAACTTTTATGGAATGTTGACAAGTGATAACTTTTTTTAAAAATTATTTTTTAGTTGTAGTTGGACACAATATCTTTATTTTTAATGTGGTGCTGAGGATTGAATCCAGGGCCTCGCACGTGCTCTACCGCTGAGCCACTACTCCAGCCCCGACAAATGATAAATTTTTGCACATTGTTTTTCACAAAGAAATGTGTGATGAATATGTATTGAATTGAATTATAGTATATGTGAAGGACATGTGAAAAGACTATATCAACTAAAAATTATTCTATTCTGGGCAGAAAAACTATTAAGTAAAAATTAACATCACACTTCTCTACAACTGATATAGCCAGCTGGAATGGATGAAATTGAAATGAACTTTTTTGTATTACTTCTGGAACTTCTGGGAAAGCTATATCAGTAAGCATAATTGAATAGGCACTGGGATTTTGTGGGAAGAGAGTTGTGATTCAGGAGATGAAGCCTTGACTGGATGAGTCACTTAACCTTTCTTGGCCTATTTTTTCCTATTTGAAAAAATAAAGACTTATTTAAGAAATTGTACGCTTCCAATTATTTTAGTGCTTATTATATATCTTGCACTGTGCTAGGCACTGGGGGGATTGAGAGTAAGACTTAATGCTGTTTCAAATGCCTTCTCCACTGGGAGAAATGGATAAAGTAACTTGTAATAGAATGTGGTAAATGTTCTGAGGATAACTGAG